CTTTTTGGTACAATGTCTCTGTGTATTCTTTCTATGTTCTTTTGATACTGCTGCATTGTTCAATATTTTGCTCTTAGAATCTTTCAATCTTGCTACTCAAGGCTTCTACTACTACTACTACTAGTGGGATGATCAAAACGCTTTAACAAGATATGGACCACTGCTTTATTGTTGTTATGTGCCATCGAGTCGGACCCGACTCATAGCGACCCCTGCTTAGGTTTCTGAGGCACTATCACTACGGAAGTAGATTGCCCCATCTTCCTTCCAACCACTGCTAGGAAGCTTTTATTTCTTTATTTTGTAAGAGCACTGTGAGATGTAATTTACCTCCTGAATTCCTACTATTTTATTTGAAATATGGAAAGTGATTTTTTAAAAGAGGGTCCTATTTGTAGAGTGTTAAATGGGATATATTGGTAAGATGTATTCAAAGTACTGAAAGTTTAAATTTGAAGTGAGTTGGCAAGTTTAGAAGTGAATCTGGTTTTTTTTTTCATTCTTTACTCCAGATATTTATTCATATCATCAGTAGAGGTGGCAGTTCTTCTGTCATTACTGGGAGATTTCTGGCAAGAATAAAAACTCTGGCAGGGAAGAAAATCATGATGAGAAAGCACACAGGGGCAAGCCGTTCTGCTCTGGCCAAACTATATTTGTTCTCCTTAAGTAGAAGGCCGGGGCAAGTCAATATTTACTTAGCCCACAGCATCTCAAAATGGTTGAAGAGGTTTATCTTACATGCTGCATTTAGTCATTGTTCATGTAGCTCATACAGCATTAGTAATAAAACTCATTTCACCATTGAAATAATATTTTATGCAAGTCTGAGAAAATATGGGTTACTTAGATGAGAATTTTAGAGTAGCAGATTTTCATTATAGATTTCATCTGCTTCATTTTTCATGCTCTAAAATCTGAACTCCAGAATGCAGTTAGTATGGAAGTGATAGAACAGAAATAAGATGGAACATGTCTGCTGTGACACCCTCCTCCTAAATTTGTTTGTTTATTTTTGCAGTAGCTTTAGGGATACCATTGAAAACACATTTTGGTAACCTGTATTCAGAAAAATGTTATAGTTTTCTGCATCTTTGAACTGGATACATTTTCTGGAAAGACTATGACAGCAGGCACAGTAATCATACAATTTGCTGTCCAAACTGGGAGACTTTTGAGAGTGAAAGGGGGAATTACTAAGCTAGGATATAGGCATAAACTTGGATGTGTGGTCACTCTAGCTATAGGGGATGTAGGAGAAAACAGGTCCCTGGGTGGTACAAATGATTTGTGTCCAACTACTAACTGAAAGGTTGGCAGTTCAAATGTGTCCACTGGTCCCCTGGAAGAAAGGCCTGGTGATCTGCTTTGTAAACAGTACAGCCAAGAAAACCCTAGGAGTTCAGTTCTACTCTGTGACACATGATCTTGCCACAACCAGAATTGACATTGATCACAACAGGTTTGTTTCTTTTGGTTTGTGTTCATAAACAGTCTGTGAGGATAAGGTGTTGGGAAACAGAAAAGGTTACTAATACTTACTGAGTGTCTCCTGTGTGGGCATACTGTGCTAGGTGCTATCATATATAATGGCATTTAATTATCACAATAACCATTTGAGGTAGATGGTCTTTTACTGCTTTTGTAATTAAAAAAAAAAAAAAATAAAACTAAATTAATATAACAGTGATGTGATGGAATTTTGCAGTTGTTTCTTAAATTGAGTAAAATTGTTATTTAAGATTTGTCAGTAGCTTTTTTTTCCTGGAGTGGAGAGCTCAAGTCAACTGGGTGGAGATGATCTATACTCCAGCAAGAACCTCTTGAGCAATGCCTGTAGGTGTGACACTACAAGGCAATGGAACTCTATTTGAAGTTCATATACATTTTGTTTCATGACACTGACTGCAATCCCTACAGTGTAACAGCTGTCTTCCCACTTCCTGGGACAAAGAGAAAAAATTTTTGACTTGGAAAAGATAGAGACTTAACCAAAGATTTTAGTTATAGAAAAATCAAAAGCTAGTCATGTTGTTGTTGTTATCTGCTGTTAAATTGGTTTTGACTCAGTGACATTATGTGCAACAGAATGAATCACTGCCCATTCCTGCACCATCTTCACAACCATTATTCTGTTTTAGAGTAGACAACCCTGTGTCAATCCATCTCTGAGGGTCTTCTCATTTTTGGCTAACTTTCTACTTTACCAATCATCATATCCTTCAGGGACTAGTCCCTCCTGATAACATGACAAAAGTAAGAGAGATGAAGTCTCACCATCCTTACTTCTAAGGAGCATTCTGACTGTACTACTTGTAAGACAGATTTGTTCATTCTTCTAGCAGTCCATTGTGTATTAAATATTCCTTGCCAACACCATAACTGAAATGCATGAGTTCTTTTTGATCTTAGTTGTGTTCACTGTCCAGCTTTCCCATGCTTTCTGACAATTCTCTGTCAATGTACTGCTGCAACCATTTTTGAATTATCTTCAGCAAAATTTTACTTGCATGTGATATTAATGATATTATTTGATAATTTCCACATTCTACTGGATCACTTTTCTTTGGAATGGGCACAAATATGGGCCTTTTCCAGTTGGTTAGGAATTCTGGTGATGTAGTGCCTAAGGCATTTGACTGGCAACCAGAAGAAGCCTGGCATTTCGAACCTACTAGCCACTCCTTGGAAGACTGGGCAATCTCCTGCCGTAGAGAAACTGCCTCGGAAACCCAAGGAGGGGTCGCTATGACTAGGAACTGATTTGATGGCAGTGAGTTTGGTTTTTCTTTCTTTTTCTTTTTTTTTTTTGGTTCCAGTTGATTGACTTATTGTTTGTCTTTCAGATGTCTTGCTATAAATAAATGAGTGCCTTCAGCATTGCATCCATTTGTTGAAACATCCCAGTGGGTATTCATTCCTGCAGCCTTATTTTTTGCCAGTTCCTTCAGGGTAGCTTGGACATCTCCCATCAATACTATCCATTCTTGGTTATATGCTACATCATGAAATGGTTGAATGTTGATCAGTTCTTTTTGGTACAGTGACTCTGTATTCCTTCCATCTTCTTTCGATGTTTCCTGCATTGTTCAATATTTTTCCCATAGAATCCATCAATATTGGAACTTGTGGCATGATTCTTTTCTTCAGTTATTTCATCTTAAGAAGTGCTGAGTGTGTGAGTCCCTTTTGATTTTTTTACTCCAGGTCTTTGCACGTTGAGTTATAATACTTTGTCTTCTAGAGCCACCCTTTGAAATCTTCTGTTCAGCTCTTTTATCTTGTCATTTCTTCCATTTCCTTTAGCTACTCTCCATTCAAGGGCAAGTTTCAGAGTCTCTTCTGATATCCATTTTGGTCTTTTCTTCCTTTCCTGTCTTTTTAATGATCTTTTGCTTTCTTCATGTATGATGTCCTTGATGTCACCTCATAATTCATCTGGTCTTCAGTCACTGGTGTTCCATGCATCAAATCTGTTCTTCAGATGGTCTTTGAGTTCAGCTGGAATATGCTCACTGTTATATTTTGATTCTTGTGGCCTTATTTGAATTTTCTTCAGCTTCACCTTAAACTCGCATAGGAGCAGTTGATCATTTGTTCCACAATTGGCCCTGGCCTCTTTTGACTGATGATACTGACTTTCTCCATCATCTCTTTCCTCCAAGGTAGTTGATTTGATATTTGTATTTTCCATTTGGCATGGTCCACATATATAGTCACCATTTATGTCATTAAAAGATATTTTCAATGAATAAATTATTGGTCTTGCAAAATCTGTCATGTAGTCTCCATCATCATTTCTTCACCAAGTCCATATATTCTACTACCAATGCTTCTTTGTTTCTAACTTTCACATTCTAATCCCAATAATTATCAGTGGAACTTGATTGCATATTTGATTAATTTTAGAGTGTAGAAGTTGGTAAATATCTTTAATTTCTTCATCTTTGGCTTTAATGTTTGGTGTGTGAATTTGAATAATAGCAGTGTTATCTGGTCTTCCTTGTAGGTATATGAATATTTTTCTATCACTGACAGTATTGTACTTCAGGATAGATCTTGTAATTTTTTTTTTTTCTTATTGAATGTGTCACCATTTCCAGCCTAGTAGACCATACGTTTATCTAATTCAAAATGTCCAATAG